GAACAATCAGTGTGAAAATGGGGAAAAGGTCAATGTTCTGAGGATACCTCGTAACAGATATTTCACTCATTCTACATTTTATTTCCTTCTCGCTGTATTCGAACTGGTTCACCTCTATTTTCCTTGAATAGGTTAATACGGATGTGATTATTATAGCTAAAACAGTTGCATATTATGGTGGTCGTCATATAATCAATTAATTGGTTAGCCTAACACTGTAACGGAATGGAGGAATATGGGGAAATAATATGGGATAATTGGGTCAGAAAACGTTCCCCTAAAGAAAGGTAGGTAATTTCGGGATAACTAGACACAGAAATGAAAAAGGTTGAATACCGCATGCAATGTACCGATATTAAGCTGAGGGCGTCATAAACGATGTAAAAATCCTTTGATACATACAGGATGTGCAGGACGATAGATCTAACTTCCGTTATAAATAAATAATTTATAATTATAAATATTGGCAACAACTAACGGGAGTAACCTACTTTTCATCGATCCAGATTATTTTGTCACAAAACTTTCAACCGACTTTTTTATACTACTTATAAGTATCTACTACTGTTTACCCTGCTATGTCGCAGCTCCTGGAATTTCCTCACTTTTTCGAATTGCCGAGGAGTGCTACATAGCAGGAGATTGACTGTAAATTATCATGGATGAGGTCAGTTTCGGCAGTTTGTCCTTCACTGGCATTCATATCACCGGCGATATAGAGAACACTGGTCTCAGTTTGGTTGCGGTGAGAGTGGAATTTACAGCCGCTTTCAGTGATTATACTAAGCTCTTTATGTGTGCGAGTCCCCCCTTAAATTGTATCCTTATGAATAGTTCTTTCTTGGGGACACAGATGGAGTTTTCCTTCTCCGGAGTGAGCCGAATGCTCTTATCGATGAACTTTTCCGGATAACCAGTGTCCTGCAGCGTTTGGCGGATGAAGCGTAGTTCTTCATCCAAGTTTGTTTGCTGACTAAATCTTCCGGGCTCTGAAGGCTAGACACCGGACTAGATTACGTTTATATTTCACTGGAACGAAACTATGAAAGTTATTATATTGACCATTCCATGTTTTCTTTCTGTGGATCTGTCTTCTTACTGATCCATCTTCTTTCCTGGACACGGCTAGATCCAAAAAGGCTAATATGTTGTTCATTTCAACCCCTACAGTGAATTCCAGTGATGGATGTGCTTCGTTAAACAATTTCAATATCTGTTGGATGCCATGTTTGCGATCGGTCACACAGAAGATATCTACTGTAGTATGCTAGTCCTTCAATAGTTCGGCTCAGCGTGCTCCTTCCCAGTTTAGCCACGAAAATGTCAGCCAGCAACGGACCAAGTGGCTATCCCATAGCAACCCCGTCCATCTTACGATAGATAGTACCGTTAAATAGAAACTGGACGTTAAGTATGCAGCGTAATAACAGTTCCTTTAGATTGGTGACCGGAATACTAACGTCTTTTATTTGATCACAGATTAATTCCACTGTCTCCAGCAGGGGTACATTAATGAACAGTGAGAGCACATCTAATGGAAAACATCGTCTTTTCTTGCAGATCCAGGTCTTCTATTTTGCCTACAAACTGGAAAATGTCTCAGAGGCTGTGGC